CACGCGCAGCGCGCCTTCTTGTTCCTCCCGATCTGTCGCGCCTCCCCTCGCGGGCCTGCTGTTTCCGTCCCCAGAGCACTCGCCGTCGCGGCACCACGCCAGAAATAGACCTAGCTGGAAGGTTTGCGCTTTTCTTCATTTGCTGATTTGTTGTTGCCGCTTCCTGTGTTTCAGGGCTCTGGGACGAAGCTCAAGGAGATCCCCAATGGTAAGCCTGCTGCTGCCCCCGAAACATCTCTTGATTGTTGCTTTTACTAGCAGATAAATGCCCCCGTCTGCCCTTCTTTGCCTGCTCTAGTGGTTAACTTGTTGCTATGGTTATTAGTGATCCCTGGATTGGTTGAAGTCTCGATTTTTTTTGGATATATCTGGTGTTCCAGAGTTATTCAGAAAGAAATTTGCTTATAAACTAGTAGTAGAATGAAATAACATGACAGTGAATGGATTAGGCTGCCATCCAAAAGATCCTGTCTTTGTTCAGCACAGGGGTTGTTTCTGGTAGAATGATAGATAACGCACATGGACTGGCAGAGTTCTCTTTGCTTAGTCCAAGGTCTATGTGCCTGTGACATTGTAAATGGCTTGTGGATCTGTTTATTCAGTTATCTTTGCTTTATCACACATTCCCTGGCAGAGTTCTCTTTACTTAGTCCAAGGTCGCCTGTGACATTGTAAATGTCTCGTGGATCTGTTTATTCAGTTATCTTTGGCTAATGTTGTATATTACCAACTTTGCCCATCCCTAAAATGTACTGGCATATTTCAAAGGGATGTATAAACAGAATTGTGCAGTATTTGTTATGAGTAATTTCCATCCAGCCACCTATTCTGTTTTCCAAGTGCAGATCTCTGGATTTGGGTTACTGCTGCTGCTTTCCTTCTTCTGAACTTTGGGTTAATGCTACTGTTTGTTAATGTTCATAACTTGCTTACCTTGATTTTGAGTGCTCTGTTTTCATCTTTCTCAGTTGCGCAGTATATGATTCAAGTTGTTACTCATGTTTTAGTTAGTGTTGGATAAATAAAGATATTAAGAATTCTTCATCTTCTAACTGTATTTTACTCCTGTTTATCATTCTGGGAATAGCTACCTCATTTTCCACAGGTTGGACTAATAGTTTGTTTCCTTAGTTTTCTTCAAACTATCCAAGAGAAAGGTGGATGACAATCTTCAGAGTCTTCATGCTTTATTGTTTGGGAGAAAATCAACTGTGAGGTTTCTGCATTGTCTCGCTCTAATTTAACTTGTTAAGTTTGTTTTGTTAACTGTTTGTTTGATTCTCTGCAGGTCCATTTCTTGAAAAGAAACCTATCACAGTTTTCTGGTTTTGTTTGGACTGACAATCCGGTTAGTTTTTGTGATGACACTGCTGTAAAACATGATTTTTTCTTGTTTTTTGTCTTAATGGATGTCCTTGTGTAATCTTGATTAGGAAAAGCAAAGGAACAGGATAAAAGAAAGGCTTGACAAGATGCACAAGGAGAAGCTGCTAGATTTTTGTGATATACTTGATGTTCAGACCAAACACACTTTAAAGAAGGTTAATTTGCTTCAGCACATGATTGTAATGATCTAAGCAGTGAATTCTGTAGTAACAGTATTTTGCTGTACTCAGGAGGAAGTTTCTGCCAAATTGCTGGAGTTTCTGGAGTCTCCTTGCATTACCAGAGATGTTGTTATCAGTGATGTGAAGGTATGCCTTTTAATTAATGTAAATCTTGTTTTTCTGCACATCTATTTTTTTACTGCATGGGACTGCAAGCTGAATTTCATAATCCCAATCTTTGTCATTCCAGAAAGGGAAGAAACGCCGGAGGAAGTCTAAAGGAACTTCTGGAGAGAAGGTAATAACTTGCCATGCTGAGGGCAGCTTAAAGTGCCTTTTAACCCCTCTTGTAATGCTAGAAAACCTATCTATCATGGAATGCCTTCACCTCTGTGTCCTGATATCTGGTGCTCTGTTGCCTGCATCAGAAAAATTTATAAACTGCTCATTTTTCCTTGAGTTGTCATACATTTCTGATTACCATTGTGAACTTCCTAGAAATTGAAAATTTGACATTACTGCTTTACTTCTCCCCTTGCACTTGCTAGCTTCCATTGTTTATTTTCAGAAAGAGAAAATTGATGATATGTTCCTAAGTTGATATGTGATTTCCATGTTCCCACCAGTTGAGGGGAAACATTCCAAGTATCCCTAGGGTTGTGTGACAATTGATAAAATCCCATCTCGAGTTATTTTTAGTTTAACCCTCTGGCATTGGAAATGACTGCAATTCCTGTAGTTGATTTGTGTCTCTTTTGTCTACCCCCTCCCTCTCTAGCTGTCTGTATCTGCAGCACCAACATAGTTGCAGTGAAAGTTTACTGCAATTAATCTTAGATGATGACTGTTTGTGATTGGATGTTTCTGACTTATCTTAGAATTATATCTCTTGCAACACACTGTTTAAAGAATAAAATTGACAGTGTAATCTGGGAAGAACCATAAAGAACAAACCAACCATAATGCTCAAACCATCTCTAGGACTACAGTTTTAATAACAAGAGTGACAAGGGTGTAAGCTGTTATACCATTCATGGAAGAATGCCTGGCCATGGATAAGAATCTCATTCATTAGGAGTCTCCAAGGCCTTGGGCTTCCAACTTCTTGCAAGGGACCTACACCAACAGTGTGACACCTTTTAGGTACCCTCTTATGTGTTGCTGGTAGTGTCTGACTTGTGCATAGCTGAGAGACAGTGAGAAATGTAGCAAAGTGTTATTCTGATTGCCCATGGTTATTTGGTCATTGCTCAGCCTGAACAGCTCAATGGGATTCAAATAAAAATAAATAAGACTAGATGGCCTTCTATTGATTGTCACATTAACAAGGGATATTTGAGTGGTTTTCACCCAACTAGTGAAAAAATGGCAATTTAGTACTAACATGTTTAATTTCAAACACTCAAATTAAGAAGCTATACCTGGAAACCTATGCTGATATATTTGCATTTCCAAGAATATCAACATTAGTATTGGCTGTTTATGCTTCTTGATCATCACCATTTTTAGCGGTCAAACCTGGAAACCATGAGCATCTTTCTCAGTGTTAGAAAAAAAGTTATCAGAAAAAAAAGTTAGAAGAGTTTTGCTTCGGTACCCCCCCTCCCTCCTAAAGTTTACCCAAATCTTAAAGTTACTTAAGAATGCTATTCTCATATCAGCTACAGATTAAATGTATTGAACAGATTGATTTGTATATGAAAGACTATTATGCTTTTTGATTGAAGGGGTACCTTCTAATCTCCACCTTTGATCTGTATTGAAATCTGAAACTTTTCTTTTGGAGCTGAACACAGATTGCCTGCCTGAAAACGCCTTTATTTGGTTTTTCTGAAAAAATTCTGAACATGTACATGTACAAATATACATGTATACTGCATATGTATGGAATTTCATAATAATGTATGTTCATATGTGTTGTACAGAGAAAACAATATGTATGTCAAAATGGGTTCTTTTAGTTTTGGGGTCATAAATTTGTTTCTTTGTTTAGCTTATAAATTGTCATATTTCATGAAAATTTATACACATTTCTAGGTCTTCAAAGCGAAAATTTGATTAAAAAAACTTTAGAAGATCTTCTTTTTTCAATATACTGGGCTCCAAGGAGCTTGGGAGCCAAAAATTTGCACTGACTTTGGTTCTCAATCCTGCCATGTATTTTCTTTATGCTCTCTTTCTGTACTCCATAATTGCTGGTATTTTTTTTCCTGGACATAGAGAACCACTAATATTTTGCTTCTAGCTGACAATTGCTTATTATGTTAAATTTCACAAAAAATGTTATTTGTAATTAGCATTTAGTAGTACCTAGGACTGTCTGCAGCAGTTATTTGTAATTAGTGTTTGTGTCTAGTACTTAGTGTGATGTGGTTTTTTGAACAGAAAAAGAGGAAGAGCCGGAAACAAGCAGTTGAGGCTGAAAAAGAGAATGATGATGAAGATGATGCTGGTCCTGCTGGTTCTGAGGACGCATCAATGGGAGAAAGTGATGAGGACTCTGAAGTGAAAGAAGAAACCAAGAGTGATGAAGAGCCTGAAGCGACACCAGTTAAGAAAAAGTCAACAGATGATAAACAAGGAAAGAAGGAAGCTGGATCCAAGGCAAAGGAAAATGATGCATCAGTAAAGAAGACTCCTACTAAATCTGTAAAAAGCGTGTCAAAGCCAGATGTGGAGCCGGAGAGCAAAAAGGCTGCCAAGAAAACACCAAAGAATTCAACAAAGGGAAGCAATACACCTGTAGAAAAGGCCAAGAAGAAGGTTGCAAAACCGAAAAAGGATGATGGAAAAGAGAGCAAAAACAACAGTAAGGCACGCAAGAAGCAAGGTGCCAAGGCATCTGGTGGAAATAAAGGTACGAGATCTTGTACCCATTCAGGAGATCCACATGAATGCAACTGTTTTTACACCTATTTAATCTCAGTGCATTTGGATCATCAGTGAGTTTATTTATCCCATGAAAATACTGATCTGATGCGGATCACACTAGGAGCTGGTTTACTTTACTTTGTTCTTTTAGGATTATTAGGAGTTAATTCATTGTTCTTCTAAGAAGTACTTCCAGTTTGTTGGCTTTATTTGTATTTTCTGCGCTCCATCCTATGAGATGCCACTTCGAAAGCTGCTATAACCAATGCTTCCATCTTCTCCAGGAAAAGACAATGTAGCCCCAACCACTAAGCAGCTGCATGGAGTTGTTAGCAACATATTGAAAGAAGTGGACTTCAATACGGTATGCGGATGCAAATTGTTATGTTGTGTTCATGTTGCATGTATTTCTGGTCTTTTATCATGCTGACCTGGCTACATGCTGCTACCTTCATGCAGGCAACTTTGGCCGACATTCTCCGGAAGCTAGGTATCCTTCTGTTGTCATTCTCTGAAGTTTCATTGTAGTAGAGTTCATTGAAGTTATGCTGAGCACAGTTGTCTGGTCTAATGAATGCACTCACATTTTCTGTTGTCACCTCAGGAGACCACTTTGACATGGACCTCATGGATAGGAAGTCGGAGGTGAAGCGCATCATAGAGGAAGTGATCAACAGCATGTCTGACGATGAAGGCGAGGAAGAAAATGAGGAGGATGCAGAGGAGAATGGCAAGAAGGGAGAAGATTCAAAGGAGGATCCTGATGAAGAGGAAGAGAAATAAGCCAGACGTGATCGACTGACCGATCTCCTGTATTTGTCGAGTGTTCTTCTTGTTGGTTGCTGGGGCTGTTCTGGCCTGTACAATGGTGGCACCACAACAACCGTTTTGGTGGTGGTCTGGGCAGGTGCTAGACTGTTTGTTAGCCATTTGATGTGATGGCCCTGCACTCCTACCTGGTTGGTGTGCTTGACTCTTGGTGTTCTTGACCTGTAGTCTCTTAGTTGCCGGTCATGTACAATAGCTGCTTGGTTATATGACTCTGTTCCTTTCTTAGGTAGCTAGCCCTGACTGTAATTTGCAGCATGCATACTTGTCCGTGTTCTGTTCCTTGCATTTTATCCATGTAAAACTGTTGTATTCTTGTGGATTTCTTGCTTGCGCCGTCTGCATTTCATCATGCCTTTTCTCACCATGTGACAAATTGTTTTGAGCTAGTATTGTTTTTAATGTGGTTGTAGTATGCGAAAAATCCCTTTTGGAGGCCGAGCTCCAATGAGGCTAGCTTTTGAAAAATTCAAAATTCATTAAAATTCATTCATATTTTTACATTTCAAAAAATTCTAAAGAAAAGATATACACGGAGGTATATTGCACAAGTGTGTAAATTTTAAGGATGAAATTCGTTGGAATGAGGGCTGTGCAAAAAAGACAAATTTAGGACTTTTTAGCACATGATACATCCTCATAGGTCATAAATTTGTCTTTTTGTGCAGATTGCATTTTAAGGTATTTCATCCTGATCCTCGTTTACTTGTACATTTCTTTTTCTTGAAACTGAAAGTTTGATTTGTTTTCTTCAAAAAAATGGCCTCGATGGATGCGAGAGCCAAAATGCCACACTCCTGTGGTATGCCCTTTTGAAGTTGATGGAAGTTCTGGCTCTATGTTGAACAGGGAAAGGTGCCGGGTGTGAAAATGATGGAAATCGCCAAAGAGAGTGGTGAAGTTTTTTACCCGGGTTCCAATGATCTCTGACATTGGCTGGATAAATAAAGTTTGAAGGGACTTCTCGAGTAGGTAATCTGTTTTATCAGTCTCCACCAAAGAGAGTGGTGAAGTTTTTTACCCGGGTTACAGTGATATCTTGCTTGGGCTTCTCGAGGAGCTAATCTGTTTTATCAGACTCCACCAAAAAGTTGCAATGACAACAACTAGCTTAGCAATAAATTGCTTAATTAGTGACCAACATGTTAGATACTATGTAGTAGTAACGTGTCAGGAATAGAATGATTGGTTGCAGCAAGGATTTCAGTTATAATAAACCATGGTGAGCAAAACGAGGCTGCTTTAGAGAAAGGGCAAAGAAAAAGCATGTGCATTCCATCCTCTGTATTATCACACCCAAAGCAGTTTTCAGTAATGCGTTAGAGAATTTACTTGCTCTCTTACCCTTAGAAAGCGCTTTACTAAGACGCCTCCAAGCAAATGTCTGTACCCATGGCGCCATGAATTTGTCTTGCCAAACTTGGTTTAGAAGAGCAATGTTTTGTGGATGAACCGCTTTGGGTTGTTATCTAGCCGATAGCTCAAGGTTGTTGAAGCAATGTTTATATGCACTTTTGGATGAGAAATTGCCTGCAAGTGTTAGTTTCCAATTCAAAGCATCTTGCACAACATCAGAGTCAAAAGAATATTACTAGCTATCTCAGGAGTGAACGGGGAGTTATTGTATCAACATTCCAAGCTTTTTGATCTGGCAACCAAAGATCTTTAACAATAGCGGAACATCATAACATCATCAATGTATAGAGGCAACCATGGTAGAGCAACTAAGGCAGGATCTAATGGCTTGCCACTAACAAAATGAAGAAGCTTATTGGATGCGTTTGGTAGACTGCACCTTTTTTTGCCCCATTGCATGTTGACTCAACTGAACAGTTTATGCCTGCTATTTTGTGGCCTGCATTTATGCTTCAGGGTGAGCAGATGCAAACTACAACAGTTTGGTTGTGTGCACTGTGTTGTTCTGCTCACCCCTTTCAAATGTGGTGTGCTTATCCACCAATTGGACTACACTTCACAACAACACATCACGTATCAAGCAGGAACACAATTAAAATACCACTCCTACTCATTATTAGCATGCAACTACATAGTTCATGGTGCAACTAGAAAATCAATTTAACACAACAGGGGCGTCACATGCCCCTAGACAACCCCAAGATGCTGATCCCTAGGCAGAATGTACACCTGACAACAAAAGATCAAAGTTCACACATACACGCTTTAGATAGACGGTTCAAGCAAGAAGAGCACGAGCAATGTCACCCTAGCAGCAGTGCTTGGTGCACCTGACCTTGCAGATGGTGGAGTTGCCGGCGATTTAGATATTGACCTTCAAGCCCAGGCCCAACAGCTTCAAGACTAACAGACCACAGAGGACGATGATGTGCTTTTAACAAAAGTAGTTCCAACCCCTCCCCAGCAACATATGCTCGTGGAAGATCTGCAATAGACCCAGAACTCGCACCATTTGTTTGCTAAGAGCTTGACAATGCAAGGAGGTTTTAGGATGAGCCATCGTTTCATCAGGGGCAGAGTCGAGGATGACAAAAATGGCAATGTCCTTGACGTTCTTGATGGACACATAGACTTCAGTGGCTCGCGTGTCCCCTCCTCATGGCCAAGCCTAGACATGCGGCCAATCCCTAGCGACTTGCTCATCTCAGCTAGTTTGCCCAACACCATCACTGTTTTCTGCAAACCGATTCACCCGCATGATGTACTTGTCCCCTCGGCGCCATTAACGACCAGCCTGGTGGGGGCCAACGATGCTGATAGGCGGCCCGACCTTGCCCGTCATGGACCCCTGAGGTAAACTGCCCGGGTGCATGCTGTCCGGGCATATCAGACACGCAGAGAGCTGTAGGGAGCCACCCGCATCACGCCGATGCCAGGACACGCTAAAGCCCTCCTCGCGCATGGAGACTCCCAGGAGACAGGTACTCCATTATCCTTTGTAGGAGTAATGAGACACTTACGATTTGAATCCTCCCATTTAGCCTTAACATCACAGTCCCTCATAATCTCCATCACCTTCTTTAGGTGCTTCAGGAGGACCATTAAGGAGAACATAATCAATATTCAGCAAGGCAAAAGTAATCTCAAGCTTTTGCTTCCATGTAGCATAGTTGCTACCATATAATTGGTCTATATTGTTAAGCATTCCAGCAATATGAGAGGCATTAGATGCTGCAAAAAGAATCAATGTTTTAATGAGCATCATCATCATCAACTTGTTTTATTGACCAAATTCAAATAAGCTTTGACCCGAAATGAGTATGAACAAAAAAAATGTGGACAAGTATTTATTAATCAGCTTTGGCCAGAGTAATAAATAGAAGCCACATTTTATTAAATCCTTATGTATAAACTTCTTTTATCAATCTTGTTCATATCAGCTTTGGCCAGAAATGGGCATAATTAATAAAGTTTTATGATGCTCTTCATTTTTTTTGTGGGTGGAGAACGTTAATTTTACAGTGGAAACAACCTAACATAATAACAGTCCTAATAAAATGCCACAAAAGAATCAAGAAATAATAATAAATGCATTCATATAATCAGACATGGCACGTAAAAGCATGAGGAACAGTAAGGTGTAAAGGAATTATGTAACATTTTTAACAAGCATAACCAAACATGCAAAAGTTAAGCCCTGAAACTTATTTATTTTAGTTCAGAAGAATAAACTTAAAATAAAAAAGACTTTAGATTATTCTCAGTGAATCTCAGCCTATGTACATATTCAGGCTATTACATGAAAACACGCAAAGGTCACTCCCACATTTTCAGTTTTGCGCCACTTGTCATACCCAGAGAGTTTTCTTTTTTTTCATAGATTCGAATATGTAAAATATTTATCTCTTAAACTATACACCCAAATCCCGAACCATCTTCACCGTTGGATTACTAGCATCGAGATCATCAAACTAGATCCCATGTTAATATGTTTCGACGATCTATTTTTCTCTGCAAATAAACCGAAAGAAAAACTGTGCCTCCCGCGAAAAAATAACGTGTTTTTCCCTTTCAGAGAGGCACACCTCTCGTGTATGCAAACCTGTGCATCCACGAGAAGCAGATCCGTTACTCTCGCGGAAGAAAAAAAACACGTTTTTCTTTTTCTTTTTCGAGAGGCACAGCTGTGCCTCTTGCAGAAGCAAAACTGTGTCTCCACGAGATGCAAGTGTGTGCCTCTCGCGGAAGAACAATAATGTTTTTTTCTCTTTCCGAGAGGCCTCCACGAGAAACAAATCTGTACCTCTCGCAGAAGAAAAAATATTATATTTTTCCTTTTTTGGTGAGGCACATTGGGCTTCCCTTGGAAGCAAATATGTGCTATTTGTGGAACCAAAAACACCATTTTTCACGCAATTTTTTGTCCAAAATCTAGAGAAAACCAGGGAAAAACTGGAAAATAAAAACCATCTAAAACCAGAAAACGCATACAGAAAAATAAAAAACACAAAATCCTGAGGAAGTGCCCAACATTCGATATGTGACGGCGGCTGAGAGCATGCAAATGGGCACGCTCTCAAACCGCCAAAACTGACTCTTGACAAGCTCCCGCAAGGGGTATACCTCAATTAGTTGCTCTCCCTATGTCTCGCTTCTAGCGAGACGTAGGGAACCCTCACGTCAAGCCTAGCGCGATATGGGCTGGCGCAGTGCGCAGAAGTGCACTGCCACGTTTTATTTCTGCTTTTTCTTTCACTTTTTTGTTTTCATTTTTTCATTTATTTTTTACTTTTGTTTACATTTCCAAATGTTATAAACATATATATTCAAAAGTATACTTTACATAATGTTTTGAAAAATATTAATCATGCATTTGAAAAAAATGTTAAATATGTATGGAGAAAATGTTGACCATGTATATGAAAAATGTATACAAAAAATATAGATCATGTATTTAAAAAATGTTAGTCAAGCATTTGAAAAATAGTTAAACAAGTATATAAAAAATGTTAATAAATATTTCAAAAATATTAAATGTG